AGGGACCGTTAGTCACGTGACTTAGCCGCCCCCCTTGTCTCGAGCCTGGTTGTCCGTCAGACTGCGCTGTCTTTTCTCGTAAGCCTCATCCAACCATTTCGTGTTGACTGTAGATGTTCCATAACAATAGGTATTTAAGGCCTTATAATTTAACCCTAAGATAGACCTTTTTATCTAATATAATAATTACTAGATTATTTACTTAATTACTAGTAAAGAACTATATATAACTACTAAATTATACTATATTAATATCTACTAATACTAACTTTAAGAATATACTTAGGCTAGAGAGGTAAATATTATATAGATTCTAACTAATTAGATACTAGCTAATAGCCTAACTAAGCCTTTATATAGAGAAAAATACTAAAGATTTATTAAGATATTAGGTCTAAGGGATCTAAATACCCTTAATATATAACTTAATTAGGAAGATATGGTATAGCTAATTCTTATTAGCTAAAGAGATATATTATAGTATTATATCTTTAGTACTAGATTATATATTTTATACTTACCTATATTACTATTTATAGTTAGTCTAGTTTAACTAGAATATACATAACTTCTAGTCTTATTACTTATTATATAGAAAAATATATATATTCTTAGATATAGTAAGAATATGTCCTAGTTTAACCTCTATATACTCTGATTCCAATCGGTGATGTTGGTTCCGTATCGATGGGTACTGCGGAAATCGAACCTAGGGGGTTCAAGAGTACAGGTCTAGTAGATGCTGTGTAAGAGGTTCCGGTCATAACTGTCAACCATATAACCACTCGACTAAAAAGGAGTCTAGACAACCTAGCGTTGTCTAGTAGTAGTGATGCAGTGCATGTTCCTCATTGGTAAGCGGATCGGCAGACTTCGGAGGAGGGAAACCGCGGGTATCCGACTCCGGGGCCCCAGACCGATCAATTCGCTTTTGTCCAATCATAATTATTGATCTTGAACCCTGTTTGACTTTGACTTTTACAGTCAACCAATGACACTCGGAGCCGGGCTGATTGCTGCATCAAAACCTTGGGGTTACGGAGACTTGTTGGTATGCCGAGGCAGTTTAAGGACCGGTCGGCGCGCGGACCGTCACCTCGTCGGATCTCCATGGCGTGATTCACACATGCTTGTAGAAAAACTCCACGCCCCAATCTTAGCTTCACAGTAGTGTTTTGGGCTCACGACTGCCGCAATGCATTCCGTTCCAAGACGTACAAGAACTGCCGAGTCTGGAGCTTGTTCAAACTGCGTTAAGACGAGGCAGCGATGTTACATTGGAGTCAGCGGAGGCTCGTGTTCGTCTTGTCGTCGGGCCAAATTGGACTGTGATGCTCATGAGAGCACAACGTGAGTCTTGCTCTGTAGCATACACCGAATATATTACATTGCTGATCGTTGCAGTCCTCGTAGCGTGACTGAGGAGCCATCCTCGTGGCTCACATATTGTCCCGGTTGGTCATTTCCTGTAGCCAGGGTTATCCGTCAGAATGGCTGATGTTGTGAAGAGGATATATTCGCCTCGCAACTCAAACAGAGCGAGCGAGAATGCAGCCTGAAGAACGGCATGGCCGGGAATCCTGCCGTCTTATCAACCATCCCCCTCGACTACCACATCTCTATCATCAATCAACTTTTCGGGCCCGCCTCCGACGCTCCACCGGCTGTCCACTTGCCGAGCTACCTGGCCGATCTCCCAGGCAGACTGCACAGGGACGATGTCGAGTATCTTCGACGCAGTGGGGCGCTTGACCTCCCCAGCGACACGCTCCGCAACGAGCTACTAAAGAGCTATCTGCTCTGGGTCCATCCGCACATGCCTATCTTGGGGTTGCATGAATTTCTATCAGCTGTCGCCAGCGATAATGAATCTCATCAAATCGGTCTATTGTTATTTCACGCCGTGCTGTTTGCTGCGTCAGCTTTTATCGAAGTATGCCATATCCGTGCCGAGGGCTATCCTTCGCGCGGTGTTTTTCGTGAGCGTCTATCCCGGAAAGTGCAGGTACCTCTCTCCCTACTCCAGCTTCGTTATGCCCAACTCATCTGTCCAGGTGCTTCTCGATCTCGCATGCGAAGACGACCGTCTCGCTAATGCTCAAGCGATTCTGTTGATGGTGTCTTATCCTGAGCCGCACCGCGACCAGAAAGAACTTACCCACTGGTTGGGTATCTGCATCTCTATGATCAGCTCGAGTCAGACTCAAATGATCAAGACAAATGCAAGAAAGCAACAAATATGGAGACGGACGTGGTGGTCCATATTCGATCATGTGCGGCTAACATCGAGTAATCTTCTTACTTTGATGAACATTCAAGGAAACGGCAGTCAATGCGAAATCCCTCTACCGAATACGGCCGATTTCAGATTCGGTGCCTTATCACCCAACGTCCAAACTTTGGTAGGCAGCTGCGACTTTCTCCGCGATGTGCAGTATCAACAGTTCCAAGCGAGGTTGTTCATTGAGAAATCCAAGCTCTGTCAGATAGAACAATTGCCCGGACTATTAGAAGACTTATCCGACTCACCCAGCCGCGAAGGGCGATCTTCAGATGCGGAAAACAAGGCCTCACCTACCGAAGTCGCCGAGTTTGCTCAGAAATTGAGCAGATGGCACGCACAATTGCCACCGGCGCTTCATCATCAATCACCGGCCTCATCCGCTGTCACAGAGCTGGAGAAGTTCATACTTGTCCATCGTGCCTGGCTGCTCTTGCTTTATCTCGCCTCGGCGTACGTCGCCTGCAGTCGCAGTGTAGGGAGGAACAGCCACGCAAAAGAGCACATCCTAAACAAAATCAGTCTCGTCTTCGATGAACTGCATCGCTTGAACCTCACCAACCTACTTCCTATTTCCAGCATCGCTATTCTCGTTCCGGCACTGGAGTTTCACATCAAGGCTGTCGAATCGGCTTACCCTCAAACGAACGCAGCGAGTCAAAGAATGCTCCAGCAATACTCGGAAATCCTGCATCAATTGCAAGAGAACTCTGCTCTTGCCGACCGCATGATTGCGAAATTGAGCAATGTCATTGCTCCTAGAACTCCTCGGGGCGATCTGACGAGATTGATCGCTTCAGAATCCGCCATGGTAGAACAATCCGCCTCGCATCCTGATTTTGAACTAAAGGAAAATGACGACTTGTACCTTTTCTTGGAATCCGGCATGTCCTTTGCAAATGTTATCCCGTCGGCAGATAACAGTGCAACCATTGGGGTTGATCCGCCCCTCAGTAATGAGAGCTATCTTGCACAATTTTTGTGAATGCTGTTTGTTGGCTGATCCACGTATCCACATCTAATGAATGATGACCTCCTGTTATTCTGACGTTGAAAGCTTTTGGGTAGGGTTTGAGAGGACAATAAATTGAGAAATAGGGAAATCAAAAATTGGAATAAGAAGTTGCCAGTAGATGCGAAAACGAACCGTGTGCAGATAGCTTCGATAAAAGCCCAGGGGGAGGGAGATGGAAGAAAACAAAAAAAGAGAACGACCGAAACGCGATTCGAACGCGCAACCTTTGGTGCCGAAAACCAACGCGCTACCATTGCGCCATCCGGCCAATTTACTTGACAAACCTCACCAACGAAAGCTCATATTGTATTCAGTCCAATGCCTTCCATTGTACTTCGGTCCTCACAGCTCTGAAATGATGTCTGGTTTGCCTTCATCGGCTGGTCTAAAGTAATAAGAGGCTGGTAGCACTCGTCCTTATCATTGATTACTCCCTCATACCCATTGACTTCCTCAACTTGTGTGCTTATCAAATGCGACGGCCACTCTTGCTCGTCTGCCTAGATATATACAGTAATCAACATCAGCACATTTTGATAGAACCTCGCAGTCAGTATCCGAGTCTTCTGATGCAGACCTCACCCTTGATGTTGTCAGTCCATAGCCACATTGAGAGCTGGGAGATATTGCACCTGAATGACAACTAAGGTAGCTCATTCTCTACCCAGGATGCAGCTCTGCAGGCCGCCAAGAATGCACCCCCGCAGAGACATGCATAAGCGCCATCGGTGTCCGACCTTTTTCTGCCACCACTTAGCTGGAGATACTTGGAACATCTCTGCAGACATGTTCTTAGCTCTTTCTGCCATAGCAGCACTTCTGCTGCTGGCTGTCTGGCTGCTCAATAAGCTCGACTACTATCGCACCAAGCAATTCGCAGCATGGCCACAGCCGAGGCCGTCACGAGTATGGGGTCATATGAAGGATCTCAACGCCTTCATTGCCCGCGGTGAGCCAAATAGGCATATTGGTAAGCTTCAATTGCATACTGCCCTCATGCACCACATACTGATACTTAACGGACCTCGTATTCGCGGAAATCAAGGCCCACCTCGGCAACCCGCCGTTGTATTTTCTCGATGTACGCCCGATACAGCATCCTATGGGCATCGTCTGCAGCCATGAGATTGCAGAGCAGGTAGCCAGGAGCTCGAAAAAGTTCCCGTATAGTATGCCCAAGACCCCGACGCTGCAGGCTTATAAGTATCTGCTGGGCCCTGATTCGATCATTACTTCCGAGGTATTTCCAAGACCTAGGTAGTATGCTTGATACGGAAAAGCTTGGCTCATAAAGACAGGGCGAGGAATGGAAAAGCCTTCGCAAACGGTTCAATCCTGGATTTGCGCCTCAGCATTTATTGACCTTGCTGCCGTGCATACTGGATAAGACAGGGCCATTTTTCGAGGCCCTTGATCGATATGCTCAATCAGGGGAAGAGTTTAGTTTGGCTGAAATATGTACCAATCTCACATTTGATATCATTGGTAAGAGTCTGAATGTCTCTGAGGAACCAAAGCCGGTACTAACATAGAAGCCTAGGCGCAGTGACAATGGACGAGGACTTGGGAGCGCAGCTTCCCCTAGACAAGCAGAGCGAGATGGTCAAGCTCTACCACGAGCTGGCTGCAAGCTACCGCAGAAAAAGCTCAGCCCGAGCAAAATTGCTGAACCCCTTGGTGACATGGCGCCAATATACCCTGGCTCGCAGACTCAATACCATCATCAAGAATCACATCAAACGCAAATTCGCAGAGTTGAAGGAAGCCAGTACCAACGAGAGAAAGTCCCGCAGTGTCCTCGCCCTCAGTCTACAGGATATAGAGTATCTGGATGCCCGTGTCTTAGATCAAACTTGCGATCAGCTGAAAACTTTCTTGTTCGCTGGTCATGACACGACTAGCATCCTCCTGCAATGGGCATTGTATGAGCTCAGCCGCACACCTCGTGCTCTGGAATCCATACGCCGTGAACTCGACGACGTCTTCGGGCTTGATCCTTCCCCGGCAATAGTTCATGATAAGCTTCTTGCGCCGAACGGCGAAGAACTCCTTGGAAAGTTGCAGTATACCTCCGCCGTGATCAAGGAGATACTCCGCTTATACCCTTCGTCGGGAACAGGGAGATTTGTGCCCGAGGGAACGGGTGCGTATATCCAACTGCCAGATGGAAGGTCGCTGTGCATTGACGGAGTCCTGATGTACAACTGTGAGACGCTCATTCATCGTGATGAGACTGTCTACGGGGAATCGAAGGACGATTTTGTCCCGGAGCGATGGCTCGGCGAGGCGGGTGCTAGTCGGATACCGTCCAGCGCATGGCGACCGTTCGAGCGAGGACCGCGCAGCTGTATCGGCCAGGGGCTTGCGACAATTGAGGCACAAGTGATTTTGGCTTGTGTGGTCAGACGGTACGAATTTCGGAAGATAGGGCTCGGTGAGGTCGCGCGGGACAGCGCTGGGGAGCCAATTCTGAACCCGCGAGGGCAGTACGAGGTCAAGTCGCGTTTATTCAATGTGAGTTTGCCAGTCTTCTTTCGGAACCTTTTGATGATATTGACATTTAAGCTAGACAATGCAAGTGACTGCAAAGCCGGTGGATGGAACGATTATGAAGGTGAAATTGTCCTTTGGTGCTAGGAAAGACCTCTGATGTACTACTGAATATCCCACTCCATTTATCATGTACGCCCTTCATTCTCTGCGTCTTAGACGTCTCTGTAGAAAGAATCTACTTTGCAGCTTTGGAATCAGTCTAAATGCTATCGCATTGCGATGCACTGGATGAACTAGTCATCGTAACATGCCTAGCCATATCCAAATTTAAAACCAAGCATCATGACCTCACCTCTATCAGATTCTCAACCCAAATCTCGCGCAATGACCATAACCAACTTTCCTCCACTTCTTGTCCAATATGCTTGAACAGTAAGCGCAAGGACTCGCGATCATCTTCATTGCATTTTGGTGCACCCCTTTGCCAAGGTTCAGGACCAAAATTGACCTTGAGATATGGATTCCGCGCATGCCCATCATAGAACACTCTATATCTGTCCACAAGTAAGCCGATTCTTATTTCAGTTTCCGACTCCAATGGCACACCACGACGCCAGTCGCTAGCCCCGATCCGAAAACACCGCAGGCGAGGCAGCCTTGTTCGGAAAGCGTCGAAGTAATGATGCCAACGTTTGTCGTAGGAGCGGTAGTACCCTAGCTCGCCGTCACCCTCACGGCGGAGTTCCATCTCGCCTTCGTCGAATGAAAACTCGCCCAGCTTGTCTTCCTGAAGAGACAGATCGTAGAGGATCATGCAATCGTCCAGAGACAATTCATTTAATGTGGCACCATGCGAGAGAATCCATTCCAGCTGGGAGTCTTGGAAGAAGCTAAAACTTCCCAATGCAAGGCTTTTGAGATGCGGAAAGTGAAGCTCGCTTAGTTCAAGCTTTGGGCAAAACCCAAACCAACTGCCGCAGTAAAGGGTGAGGTGTTCAAGAGACGACGCGGTCGGTTTCAGCCACACTGACGGAAGCTCTGTAAAAATGGATTGCGACTTGGGAAATAGACTGGATTGGTTCTGGGACCAAAATTCGGCAGCGTCTAGTGTTGTGGCAGGCTTGTGCTCTCTCACAATGCTCAATCGAAGAGATCGCAAATTCCGCAGCACCTTGGTGATTCTATTGGATGTTTCGTCGTCTTTGTTGATATACTGGAGATGCTGAATACCCAAGGATTGCAGAGGTACCTCAAGTGAAGCCAGCCATTCAAAGAGGACACTGAGAGCCTTCTTGCGAAAGGCAGCGGTCTGAGGACGCATGAGAATCCAATGACGCCTAAATATGCCGGAACGCAGGTCAAATTGTACGATGGCGGTTTGCACTTTTGATAAGTGCTTAAGCTGCAGAATTCTGTTTTCAAACTCTCTTGGGAAGTAGGCTTCTTCCTTATCTTCCAAACCCTAGTCCTGTAAGCATATAGCACTCGTTAGACGGTCAGAAGAGAATACTGACATATGAAGGGTTGTATGTGTTGATATACACCTTTTTAACCGCATACTTTAACGTTGAACTCTTTGAGATGCCATCCATAATCTCATAGCTGTCCTCAGTAGGATACAGTTCAACGGTATTAAACAGCAGCTGAGTAGCGAAAAATGAGAGAAGGTGACATGTCTGGCGCAATTTCTTCAAAGATGATGGATCGAGGTAAGAGACTATGAGAGCAAGAAGCTCGCTGGGCAGAGCGGTGATATGGACCATGTTGCATGAGAACGCAAGCTATCTCAAAGAACCAATTCCATGTCAATGTGTTGGAGGTTGCGAAAGAGAAGGAGAACGTCTTCTTTAGATTTGATCGATGGATGAAGATACTTCTTTTTGCGGCGTCACGTGGAGGGCTCATCCTCCCATCCACAGTGAATGTTGGGAGTGTCAAAGATACCCGATTCGGCAGTGCCTGTGTGAATAAGATAGAGCATTTCTTGTGCGACCGATATCTCCGTGACAAAGGAGAAATTCTCCCGCCTGAAATGCACTGTAGGGAATGAGGGCGAAAGTGAAGCAACAAAGAAGTCATTCAGCTACAGGTTTTCAAATTCCTCATCAAGATGTTTGCTTTAGTGGATCTTTACATCTTGATGAAACTGCTGCTTCGTTAATATTCACGACCAGTTTCTGTCACGTGCACTGTCAGTAGTCACCCTGTTGATAGCAATGACCTTATACCTATTCTTTAAGAACTTCAGTGGCCAAGAACTCCGAGACAGTATCATTGCCGTGGGACTAATGGCTGACCAGGATTTACCACAGGCTTAAAAGCCGGATAACCGCATGCTGACTCTACTACGGAGTACATGAGACTGTCTTACTTGTCGAAGAGTTCCTTCTGCTTCGCTCGTGGAATGCTCTTGCGCGAACATGCAGACATTTCTATACTGCCTTCACGCCATCTCTGTACTCCATTGCCATCAGTATCAAGGACGATCAAGGCGATTTCTCCACCTGGGCTGCGAGAAAGGGCCGCCTTGCCACAATCCACCGGATCATGAAACACGCACTCAAAGGTTACCTCAGCTGCGTTGTTCGCGGGGAAGCTGCCAAGTTACTGCTGGAGGCCACGACTGATTTTGGCTATGTTCGTTCCCTGGAGGCAAGTTCGGTGTTTGAGTTTGTGCGGAAGAAGCAGAGTGCATTGCTCGAGTCAATTCTTTGCCGAGACATAGACGTGCACCAAAGAGACATCCATGGGCGAACGGCATTGTTCAATGCTGTATTACACAAGCACATATCGGGCGTGATGCTCCTGTTGGAATTTGGAGCAGACATCAATGCGCCAGACGAGCACCAGATCACTCCCTGTATATTGCCGCAGAACAGGGACCCGAAGCAATCGTGGAGCTTTTGCTGCAAAGAGGAGCTCGGGTGGACATGACAGAGTATGGAAGGCAGACGTCTCTGCATGTTGCCATATCGGCCAATTCGACCAAGGCCGTCTCTCTTCTGATCGAGCATGGTGCAAACGTGAATGCGATTGAGTCAGGGCAGGAGACTGCTTTACAGCGATCACTAAGCGACCGGACTGAAGCCGGAATTTTGAAGCTCCTTCTCGATGCAGGAGCGGATTTCACTGCTCCAAACATCCACGGTATCGCACCATTAAAGCTGGTATGGATGAGGAGGGCCAAAGAAAAAGGACGGTTGCTCTTGAACGCAATAGAAGCAAGAGAAACCGCTTCTGACTTGCTAGAATCACCTACTACCTTGCCACATGCTGATATCTATGCACAGTATGATCTCGCACACCGGCTCTTGGCCCAAGGAGCAGACGTTGGCAAACCGGAAAGGGACACAAGGCGGACCGCATTGATGGAAGCGGCGAAACAAGAACAAGACAGCCTTTTCGATCTGGTGCTGCAAAAGAGTCTCGATGTCAATGCATTAGACCCCTGCGGACGAACGGCACTCTCATATGCGGCTGAGCACGGCAGCGAACATAAAGTACGCTCCTTGCTAAAAAAGAATGCATCAGCTGGTATCTACAGGTCGGGGTCACCTTTGACATATGCTGCCAAAAATCATCACCTTCAAGTGGTATTGCTCCTTCTTAGACAGACAAAGGGCGTAGATCTTGCTGATGATAGCCTTCGGTCCGCGGTGACGTCTGCTGTTACCTTTGGTGATACACAATTGCTGGAGTTGATACACGAGAAGGGCAATCTTGACCAACGCGATTGGAGGTACCGTGATCCGGTCCTTCATCGCACAGCACAACGAGGAGACCTGGCCGGCGTAAAGTGGCTGCTCAACCAATCTGTCAGTATTGACGCAGCAGGCAATGATAGGCGAACGCCCCTTATGCTGGCAGTATATAGCCGTAATGACGCAGTTGTTGAACAACTTCTGCAGCACGGAGCCCGGCTTGACGCCCGAGATTGGAACCATGCGACTGCCCTTCATTGGGCCTTGCCACATTGGACCGACCCGTCACTTGAAACTCCCAATTCCAATGCTATCTTGAGAGCTGACCGCAATTCCGGGCGTCCTGTTAACTCGAATATTGTCAAAATGCTTGTCGAAGCAGGTGCTGATTTGGAAGCGAAGAATGCATCGGACGAGACTCCCCTGACACGCGCCGCCATCAATGGATCTACGTCAGCTGTTCGCCTGCTCCTCGAGAAAGGAGCAAATATCGAATCGCGCGACCAGTCGGGGTTTTCTCCCTTGCTATTGGCGGCTTGGAAAGGTCATACGCCAGTTGTCTGTCTTCTGTTGGAGCACTGTGCAGGGATTGGTTTCGCCAATCCAGATGGAGACACAGCGTTGATGCTTGCTGCGCGTAATGGCCACCACGAAACAATTCTAAGTCTTCTGGCAAGATCTACCGAAATCAATCGCGTCAATCACGCTCACCGAACCCCTTTGGCATGCGCAAGTCAACTTGCCGGATCATACAGGTCGAACTCCGCTTCATTGGGCCGTGCAAAATGAACATGAGCCATGCGTCGAGCTCCTTGTCCAAGGATGCGCTGATGTTACGAGAGGGGACGTTGAGGGCCGAACACCGCTCTGGTGGGCAACGAAGAGAGAGAGATCGGAGAAGCTCACAGAAGAGTCGTGATGAGATTGTTAGAATACTCTATGACCGCCATCCCGCTTCAAGCTAACTGCTGTCCACTAAGCATGCTCCTGAGGATAACATGACCAACGACCTGCCTCTACAAAGTTAACACCCGGACTCAAGCCCGAATCATCATCTTGAGACTGGAACTGTTGATCGAGGGGTGTAAAATCGCAGATGATCGCAGGAATCACATTAGAACTGCATATGCTGTCTAGACAATGCTATCGGGGACAGGATATCCTTTTATTGTCTGTGGTACCTGATCTCCTCGGACTTCAGCACGCAGACAAGCGGGTATCTCGGCTTTAAGACACTCAAGGCGTGGAATGGAGACGCGTCAGTGAATGTAATTGGCTGGTTTTGAGACAATAATTGCTGTAATGCATGGTAATTTTCAACCAGGCAGCAACAAGCCTTTTGAAGCTTTTTGACCATCCAATCATTCTCCTTTTATCTTGGCTGTGCCCCACTCTGACCGCCACACACACATGGGCTATCTACCAATCACAGAATTTTCTCCCTTTAATCTTCACAATTGAATTTTCGAGATTTGGTACCTGGATGGGTTTTCCCTTTGGTCTTTTCTATGTTTTCCCGCAATCAGGTAAACATATATTGGTTAATAGACAATCTGGACATGTAACAATTTAAACAAAGACTGGCAAGTGCTCAACTTCTAGGCATCCAAATCATGAAACTGTTTGATGGCTGGCTTGCATACGTCGGCTCGACACGCGGCGGGCCTATTATTGGAGATGGCGTCAACTCAAAGGTCTCCGCCATCAAACTGGTTACCCACCAATCTCCACAGTCGTCCAATAGTGATGCGCGGCTTGCTTGATTGCAGTATCTTACGTACCTAGTTGGAGGAGATGGCAGCAGTAGTGCCGTTTGAGTGATTAATCTCCCGGCCAGCCTAATTTTGATGGCTTCTTTGGTTCTTCCTCTTATCAGGATTTCTCCGCCTTGGACCTCTCCGTCCTGCGGTGACTTTACATCAAGAGCACATCGCCATGCGATTCGAATCATTACCACGATTAGGGTGGAATACCCTTTGCACGACGCTGCTATTTTCATCGCTAGGACAGGCTATCGAAATCAATATCAACGATGACCGTATGTGTTGCTATACGCAATCTGCCTTGTCGGACTAACACCACAATAGAATCCATCAAAGATGCTGCCGGCACTGCTGCTTACGGCGCGATGAGCTACTACCATGGCAACGAGTCCGGACACATCCCTGGCGCGTTCCCGACGAAATGGTGGGAGGGTAGTGCCCTATTCATGGCGATGCTGCAATACCAGTACTTTACCGGCGACCACACCTACAACAGCGAAGTGAGCTTGGGTTTACAATGGCAAGCCGGAGACGGCGACTACATGCCTGCCAACTACAGTAGCTACTTGGTAAGCACCGCATTGAACAAATAAATGCAAGGCGCGATGCATCTGACCGGCCAAGGGAAACGACGACCAAATGTTCTGGGGTTTAGCAGCCATGCTCGCCGCTGAACTGCAATTCCCCGATCGCTCGGACGGTTACTCCTGGCTTTCTCTCGCGCAAGGGGTTTATAACACGCAGGTAGATCGGTGGGATTCGTCAACATGCGGAGGAGGCTTGCGCTGGCAGATCTATACTTACCAAGCGGGGTATACGATGAAGAACTCCATCTCCAACGGGGGGTTGTTCCAGCTAGCTGCCCGTCTGGCGCGTTACACCAACAACAACACATATTACGACTGGGCCGAGAAAGTATGGGACTGGAGCTGCTCGTCGCCTCTGCTCAACAACAAAACGTGGAACGTTGCCGATTCGACCAACATCGAGGACGATTGTGCGAGCCAGGGAAACAATCAATGGTCCTACAACTACGGCACCTACCTCATGGGCGCGGCATACATGTGGAATTACGTACGTCTCCCGAAGCCAGCGAATCAATATACCAGAAACTGACGAGGTTAGACCAACGGAACCAACACGAAGTGGGCAACTGCCGTCAGCGGCCTGCTCAACGTCACCCTAGAGCAATTCTTCCCCACCAAATATGGCGGCAACATCATGTCCGAGGTCCTCTGCGAACCGAACGAAGTCTGCAACGACAACGAGATCCTGTTCAAGGGTCTCGTCACCTCCTGGCTGGCGTTCACTGCTCTTCTGGTCCCCTCCACTTACGACAGGATTCTCCCTAAGCTGCAGGGATCAGCCGTGGCGGCCGCCGCATCCTGCACGGGCAACGGCAACAATTCCTGCGGAGTGCGATGGTATAATTCCAGCTGGGATGGATGGACGGGTATGGAGGAGCAAATCAGCGTCGCAGACCTCTTGTCAGTCAACCTGATCACCACCAAACACAAAGGACCAGTGACCTCGACCACAGGCGGGAACAGCACCAGCGACCCGTCTGCGGGCTCGGGGGATAAATCGGGGCAGACCACCACGACCAGCAAGATCACCACGGGCGATAAAGCGGGTGCTAGCATCTTGACTATTGGCTTCGCGGTGGGATGGGTTGGCCTGATGGCTTTTATGGTCATTGGGGGGTAGTGATGATCCTGTGGTGTTTGGCGTTTCATGTAATCTTCACCACCATAGATCTTGATATTATTTGTACATAGTAGACCATGTTTCATTCGATCATGCATAACGTAGTCGCAAGCGTCGGCCTCCGAGATTGACTGGTGTCATTCAGGGAGCCAGAATGCCTTGAGTCTAATTGCGGAGCGAAGCGTAGCATGTCTTATTGCATCCCCTTCTAGCTTTCTGTCTTGGCACTCAATCTGATTGGTCAAAAAACAGCAGGTTTCTAGCTTCCTGATTGGCTGATAAAAACCATTGTCACGTGCTCTCTGGGGGGTCTGGGGGGCTCTGCCCCCCTGGATATTGAATACCATATAGTAGGGATATTGAATACCATATAGTAGGGATATTGAATTCCTATATACTAAGGATATCGAATACCATATAGTATTAAAGGGTTGAAATAGGAGAGTAAGACTGCTGCTTAGCATACTGCTTTGCTCTGCAGGCCTTAGGCGGTTTCAACCGGCTACACCTTGTACGATAGCAGTGGTCCTGCGACAAGACAAATAATCCAGTGAGAAGTGATTTCCAAGAAGTAGTAGATGTCGTTCTAAGAGATACCTTTGTGCATTATGCTCAAAGTTCGAGTGCAGTTTAACGACCATGCCTTATGGCGACGAGTCAAAATCAACCCTTGATACGTTAAGTCTAGACCATCGACAGCGTCTACATCACGAGACCAACATCCACCAGTTAAATCCCGACCGAGACTCAATAATAGCTTCGTATTTCTGCCGTGTCGACGACATGATGTCAGTGATGGCAAGCCATTCGCCGAGAGGATGAATTCGCCCCCTCCCGCATTCTTCAAGAATGGTTCCCCAAAGTATATTCCCTGGGGATTTATCCCATGGGGCTTTATATACAGACAGACCTCACCCCTCCCATCAAATAAATTTATCCGTTGTTCGAATACTAAACCCACGATGCTCCGAAATCTCATCCGCACAGCACAAACAACCATCCGACCCCCCCTCTACCCTCCCCTCCTCACCCGCTCCCTCCAAACCC